CTTTAGCCTTAGCCTTAGCTTTAGCTTTAGCTTAGCTTTAGCTTAGCTTTAGCTTAGCTTTAGCTTAGCTTTAGCTTAGCTTTAGCTCAGCTTTAGCTCAGCATTAGCTCAGCTTTAGCTTTAGCTTAGCTGTAGCTTAGCTTTGGCCTAGCGTTTCGCTTAGCTTTTCGCTTAGCTTTAGCTTAGCTTTAGCTCAGCTTTAGCTTAGCTTTAGCTTAGCTTTAGCTTAGCTTTAGCCTAGCTTTAGCTTAACGTTAGCTGAGCTTTAGCTTAGCTTTACCTAAGCATTAGCTTAACTTTAGCTTAACTTTATCTTAGCTTTAGCTTAGCTTTAGCTTAGCTTCAGCTTAGCTTCATCTTAGCTTTAGCTTAGCTTTATCTTAGCTTTAGCTTAGCTTTAGCTTAGCTTTAGCTTAGCTTTAACTTAGCTTTAGCTTAGCTTTACTGTTACTACTAATGCTGCTTTCCTAGGGGCTCCAACTCCTAGGTAGGGTCGCACTGGGATAATTTATTTTCCTCCTGTAGAGGGACAGGCACCGACTTAAACGCCAGCGCATTGGACGTCAGGTGCCCTCCAGCGAGGGGCCCGCCTCCTCGCCCCTGCAGGCCGCGGCAGCGTGTCCCCGACACCGGCCCCGAGGGGATGCTGCCGCTGCGCGCGGTGAACTGCTCGAGGGTCTCCTGACACGGCACTGCCACTTTTTTGGGGCAACTCCATGGACAGCAGCGCCCGTGGGGGTGCGAGAGGGAGACGTGATCTAAAAGATATAAGGAAAAAGGATGAGAAGGAATCTGTTGGGGAGCATGAAGAGGAGGCTGAGGAGGAGGAGGAGGATGAGGAGGAGGAGGAGGAGGAGGAGGAGGAGGAGGGCAGCAGCGCCCCGGTGTGGAGGTGCGGTGGCCCCATCACTCTGCGCTGTCCGCCCTTCCCCCCCGTCGGCGTGCGAGCACTCCCTCCCTTGCCGCCGCGTCCACGGCGTGCGTTGTCGGCCCTCCAGGAGGCACAGGTTCCACGAGCTGCCCGAGGCCTGTTGTGGCATCTGCGCGCTGTTCAGGCCGAGTTTTTTTATAATAAGCATCACCTCCTCTGATGTCCCCGCGTTGTCTGATCCATTCGATCTGCCACTGCTTTTCATTCCCGAGACAGCTCCGCCCCATGGTGCTTGTTTGGCCTCTGCGCTGCCTCCGGCTCCACGTCCATGGTGTGTGACCGAGGTCTGGTTGCATTTCCCTCGTTCACGCTTGCTTTCCACGCCATCTGACGGCCCAGCTGTGGGTTCGAACGTGCTCAAGGTGTAGGTCTAGCTCGGTACATCCTCGCGGCAGCAGGCGCCGCAGTATTACACTGGACGCACTTGGTGCCACATTAGGAGGGAGGAGGATTTGGAGGAGGAGGATGAGGAGGAGGGGGAGGAGGAGGAGGGGGATTATGATGGTGATGATTATGATGATGATGATGATGATGATGATGATGATGATGATGATGATGATGATGATGATGATGATGATGATGATGATGATGATGATGTTGCTGATGATGCTGATGATGATGCTGATGATGATGATGCTGATGCTGATGCTGATGATTAGGATGATGATGCGGCGGCTGCTGCCGCTGATGATGATGATGATGAGGAGGATGGGGATGAGGATGAGGATGAGGATGAGGATGAGGATGAGGATGATGATGATGATGATGATGATGGTGGTGGTGGTGGTGGTGATGATGATGATGATGATGATGGATGAGTATGATGATGATGATGATGATGATGATGATGATGATGATGATGATGATGATGATGATGATGATGATGATGATGATGATGATGGTGATGATGGTGATGATGGTGATGATTGATGGACTTGATGGTGATGGTGATGGTGATGATGATGATGATGAGGAGGGAGGAGGAGGTGAGGAGGGGAGAGAGGGAGGAGGAGGAGGAGGATTTGGAGGAGGAGGAGGAGGATTTGGAGGAGGAGGAGGGAGGAGGAGGACGAGGGGTGTGCGGGAGGAGGAGGAGGAGGAGGAGGAGGAGGAGGAGGAGAGGAGAGGAGGAGGAGGATTAGGATTAGGATTAGGATTAGGATTAGAGGAGGAGGAGGAGAGGAGGAGTAGAGGAGGAGGTAGGAGGAGGAGGAGAGGCAGGAGGAGCAGGAGGAGCAGGAGGGGATGTTTTTCGCTCCTTTGCTGCAGGTCGGCGGTTGGCGTCCCCCGTCGCCTCCCCACCCCCGTCCCCGCCTCCCGCGCCAGAGAGCTTCCACGGCGGGCAGGCTTGTGGAGGCTGCCCGCTCCCCCCCCCCTCCCCCCCCTCCCTACCCCAGGGCCCCGCGCGCGCGGGGGAGAAGGAGGAGGAGGAGGAGGAGGAGGAGGAGGAGGAGGAGGAGGAGGAGGAGGAGGAGCTGGGTTCCGCCTCGAAGTTATGATGGATGACTTGATGGTCCTTCCTTTCTCTCCTCTCGCCAGATCTCCAGCCCAGATCGCCGGCGATGTGACCTCCTCAGCCGGCGGGCTGTTCCTCGATGTCGGCCCTCGGGGGGCAGCATCGGGCCCCAGAGCCATCAAAAAGACGGATTCGGGGCGAGAAACTACCTCCGGGGAAGCGGTCGGGACTTCTAGGGCCACTGGTTGGAAAACACTAGCCCTGCAAAGCACCCTAATAGCAGCAGAGGTGAAGATGCGAGTTGAGGAGTAGGAGGTCGGCTAGTAACAGCGTGCGTTCCTGTGTATTCCTAGGGGCGACAGCATGGCCATGTGCATCTTAGTGTATTTTTGTACGAAGGGTCGGCCGTCCAGACCAGAAACGTGGCGTGCAGTGAGGCGAGAGCACGATTCCTGACTGCATCGTGCGGGAGTCTCAGGCGAAACGGCTGCCCGACCTGGCAGGCTAGGGTTCCCCGTCCCCCTTGCGGGACTCTTCTGTGGTTCTCTTTCACCATTGTTCGAACTCTGAAGCAGAACGCCATCCGGGAATCTAAACATAGGATCTCTAGGGCTGCAGTGGGTTCGTGCCGCGGCGACGGGGCGGCGACTGGCGCGGGCGTTTCAAGGTTGAACGACGCCAGTTGCCCAGGGCCAGCCGATATCGAACGACCTGCGCGATCGGAAAGCCGCGATCATGCAGGGTTGAACGACTAGCGCAGTGTCAGAGGCCGGCGCGCAAGTCGTCACGTCGCGAATTTGCTGTGCTGCCTCTCCGAATCACCCACCTGGTGTGAGCGCTGGTTTCCTCCTCCTGTTCGTCCTCCTTCTCGGCGTCTTCCATCATTCCATTCTCCTCGTTCTCCGCCTCCTCGCCCTCGCCCTCCTTGATCCAATCCAGGCGACACCAAGGTGCTCTGAGCTACCGTACATGGAAACTACAATCGAACCACATTACATACCAATCGATCGTCATCATCACCGTTACCATCGTTTCCAGTCGTCACGATTGCCTGTGCGTCCGGGGGCGCGCGCGTTTGTGTGCAGACCCTACCAGACAGCAAACGGACGTCAGCTGACGGGCGCGCGTTCCAGCCGCGTGCTCTCTTGGAGTGCCCGGCGATGCTTGGAAGCTGGTGGGGAGCTCCGGGCGACAGAGACGACGACGACGACGACCCACGACGACGACGACGGCGGCGAGGACGACGACCACGACGACGGCGGCGGCGGCGACGACGACGACGACCGACGAACGACGACCGACGACGACGACGACGGCGGCGGCGGCGGCGACGGTGAAGATCACGACGGCGATCACAGACGAACGACGGCCGACGACGACGACGGCGACGGCGACGAAGACGAAGACGACGGTGGTGACGGCGACGACGACGACGATCGACGATGTTCACACCCGACAGGCGAAGGTTGTTAGATTTTGAGAGAGGAACGTGGAGCAACGTCACTCGGGACATTTTGGCCCTGGCGGCCGCGGCATGCAGGGCTGGCGGGGCCTCACTCCTCGGCACTCCTTCCCACTCCTCGGGGCTCCTCCTCATTTCATCGCACTCCTCCGCGCTCCTCCCACTCCTCCGCATTCCATCGCACTCCTCCCCACTTCTCCAGACTCCTCCCTACGTCTCACTCTTCGGTACTCCTCCTCACTCCTCGGGGTTCTTCTCTACTCCATCGCTCTCCTCAGAACTCTAACCGTTCCCCCCCAGACCTCGGCACTCCTCCCATTCCTCTGGACTCCACCCCACTCCATCGCCATCCTCGGTGCTTCTCCGGGCTCCTCCCGACTCCATCGCACTTCTCGGCGATCCTCCCTTCTCTTCCGGACTCGTCCCTCCATCTCATTCTTCGGCACTCCTCAGGACTCTTCCCTACTCCTCGGGATTCCCTCCCACTCCCCATTCCTTTCCCCTCCATCGCACTCTTCAGAGTCCTCTCCCCTGTACTCTATCTCAGCCCTCGGCGCTCCTCCCCATTCCTCGGGACTCCCTCCTACTCCATCACACTTGTCGGCACTCCTCCCTGCCCCTCGGGGCTCCTCCCTGATCCTTCCTCTGTCGCACTCCTCCGCACTCCTCCCCGTTCCTCGGGACTCCTTCCCACTCCATCGCACTCCTCGGCACTCCTCCCCAAGCCTCGGGCCCCCCCCCTGTCCCCTCCCCCCCCTCTTTCAGACTGGCCGACACAGTGGGGCAGGCCGGAGGAGAGCCCACCCAGCGACCTTGCAATGAGGGTCCCCCCCCCCCCAGACCCTCCCATCTTGGATATTGGCGCTGAGCAGACCCGCAGAGGGCGGTGCGCCGCAGCCACATGGAAGGGGCGGTGCGCTGCTGCCGGTGGGTCGGTGTCCAGTCCTTGCAAGGCTCAGTGCGGCGGCGGGGCGAGACCAGGTCACTGCCCACTGGCCGTGCCAAGCAACATCTGAGGAGGGGGGTCTCGGGGGGCCTCAGGCTTCCAACTCCCGCCCCGTATGCCGTGGCGCGCTTGGAGTCGACCTCGCGGGGAACCACTGGCCGCGTCCACCCCCGAGAGGCCCCAACCCTCCCCCCGAGCCAGCGAG